CCCCCCCAGCATAAAAAAATTGGCTTTCCCGGACCATCGGAGGCCGGTGCTCCGGGAAGAGTGGAGGTCGGCGGCAATTCAGCCGGAGGTCGGAAAAAAAACGGGGGGCCGGGGGGGGGGAAGCTCGAATTTGACGATTTTTTGTGATCAGAAAAATAAGCAAAAATTTGAAAAAATCTGAAAATTTAAGAACCGGTAGACTTGGTTGTTATCTCTTTGGGAAAAGTATTAGAAAAATAAAATAAAAGTATTTAGATGGTGAAATACTCAGCGCGCCGATTCGGTGCATTTTCCTTTTCTGCCCTTCTGCCACCTGCGGGCATGAAAAGCACAGAAATTTGGTACACAGGTGTCATATGGCAGTGATCTTTTTTTTTGGTTGTGCACTTGCGCCCCCCCCCCCTCTCCCTTTTGTCCTTGGGACTTTTTTGAGTTCAAAACTTCAAAAGGCGAATATAGCGAATTTATTTGTCCCGAACTTTTTTGCATGTGCCAATGGTTATTAACTTATATCAGAAAAAAAAAAAAAAAAAGGTTTTGGTAATAAAAAAAAGTTATTAGGCTGGGGACTACCAGTAGTATGGAGAGACTTTACCTAATAAGAAGGGGATGGGATGCTATCTTGCATAGCAACATGATATGATGATGATAACGAGGCTTGGTCCAGTACACAGCATACTAAATGCATCTGGACCTGTTAGAGGTCTGATGCATTCACAATTTTCTATAAGTCCAAATGTATCTGGTCTACGTCCGGCCCAGGTACTTTTCAAATGTTGGGAGTAGTGGAGCAAGGCCCAATAGTAAGACCCTATATTCTTGCAAGGATTCGGCACCAACTGGTAGAAGCGGTGAGTGAATCCTTCCATTAAAACCGGAAACGGTGGAAAGATACATTTCTCATTTTTCATGAATTTAAAATTTCTCAATTTTTGACAGTGGGTGGGTGGTAATGAATGGCGAATCGATGCCTTTCGGCCATGTTTTTTGCAAACAACCGAAAAAAAAAAGATAAAAAAAAGATGCCCCTTCAGCCAGTAAGACAAGTCTCTGTTCCAGTTGTCAGATATAGCCGCCATCCCTTTTTGTTTTGCCTTTCTTTCTTGTAATTCTGGATTTATAATTTTATATCCGATTT